ATAACCATTTTTCAGTCTCTGGGCATGCGCGTTTGTTTGTCGTCTACTCATCGACCACGCGCATCCACAACCAATTCAACATGGATTGCTCCGACTTTTCGAAGATCATGCAGCCCCGATCTACCACATATGCATCGGGGCATATCGCCCGCATCAGTACGTGGCTGCAATATTGCACTTGATTGACTCCCGGTACCGGGACCTGCCTCGGCTTTTGACATCTGCCACGGCAGTGAAGGCTGCAATCCAGATTGGCGGACGTGGCAGCTGCACACTATCCTGGTGACAATCACGGTTCCAGAGTGCATCAGTTGATCAAAGAGCTTTTCGTGCCAACCTGGACCGCAATCAATACAGCGTGGCAATGGATATTACAAAGTGTGGGGTTGCATATTGCATTTCGACCATCTGGACGGATGGCGGCAGTCCTTTGCGCTAACACTATTTCGAGCCCATGCCGCCTGACTGACAAGCGCACTTGGGTCTGCGCCATCCTTCCAGAACCGTGCCACGGCGCCAGCCGTTTTGTACCATTCTTGCACGGCGTCAGCTACTCCGACGTGGCTTTTCTTGGGCCTTGCCTAGCTGGGAGGCCTTAACAAGAGGCGGAAGACACATCAAACTGATCCTAAATGCTCCACGTCTTGCGACAGCAGCGACCATTTTCGTAGTCTATAAAGTCATAGACGTCCGGAGACTTGATTCCCCGCAGAATGCGACACAACAATCCTGGGACCACTTCCTGTTGTGGGGCGCGAGACAAGGGTTGAGGATTGCACCTAACCTTGGAAGAGTACGCGCGCCTATTCCGTGACGACGACCATCGTATTATTTATACCTAGCAATCATCCCTTCAGCCTACGGATGGAGTGCTCGCTGTGCCACCAGTGCACAGTAGTGTCGAGCAATATCTTGATAAGCATCCTAGACATCGTGGCATGTTGATCGTCACGAAGGGGAGCCTTTCACAGTGGTCAATGATTTGACTCTTTTACAGACTGAGAGACTAGAATATTCGCAAAATCGTATACAGTAGACAAAGAGTTCAGCAGGCTCACACTGATAGAACGTCTCCCTCGAGATGACTACGTAGAGTCAACACAACTCCGCAGAGCCCAAGAGTGTCAATATCCAGCGGCACGGCGGGTTGGACGGGAGCAGGGTGAGCAGCCACACCATCTGACCGTAAGCGAGACGTCAACCGCCAGCAGCTCCGTGCGGCCCTGCGTTCCGGGTAAAGTGTTGTGCGACTTCAACCTGATCACACATCAGGTGGTTCTTATGAGGTACCCTAGTCTGCGAATAAGATCACTGAAAGACACGAATTATCGGAAACGCTTTTCCTCCATTGGCTTCACTGAAACCACCAACCCCATTACTTCACGCAGCCTATGGACGCCTTCAGCCGGGATGTCCGAAGGCGAACGTTCAGTTCGGTCCAGCCTGGGTAGATGGATCATACCCGCAGCCACTGGCGATGTCTAGGGTCTCGGGGACAGCCATGGCGAGCACTCATAACCTAGCGGAGCCCGCGTCCCCTGCAGACACCTTTGGTTGCCTTGCTCCCCTACATTGTTGATCCCCTCGCTCGAGTCTTAAGTTCGGACGTACATTCTCTCCAAAAGACGCTTAGAGTTCAGACGCTGCAATCAACGTCCCGGATCGGCAGACATCCCGGCCATCTTCCATCCCCACGGGGTACACCCGACATTAGAAAGCCAACAGCCGTAGATCTCTCGCAACCATGCCGAGAGTGTTCAGATATCTGAAAACAGCGCTTGCGCCTAGTATCGGACCTGTGTCGCCACGAGAGTCAGTCGATAACAACAATTCGTCACGCAAAGCATCATTCACTTCTTCAGCCGATGACACATGGCTTCCAGACTTTGATCCGCTCACAGTCTCGGCGTTCGAGCTCTCGGAACTTCTGAATGCGCAAGCCCTCACAAGCGTACAGATTGTGCAGTTATATCTAAAAGAGATTGAACAGCATAACAGGAGAGGAAGACAACTGCGCGCGTTGATCTCGGTGGCGCCGAAACATGAAGTGTTAAAAATAGCTAGAAAGCTTGACGAAGAACGAGCTAGAGGCAAGATAAGGGGTCCGCTACACGGTATTCCGATAGTACTGAAAGACAACATCATGACCGATGAGAAACTAGGCATGGACACCACAGTGGGTATGTGGCAGGCAGACAGCGGCGATTATGATCGGTAACTTACTTGGCTTAGGATCGTACGCTTTTGTAGGATGCATACCGAAGAAAAGTGCAACCATCGTTCAACGGTTGATCAAACGGGGTATGATCGTTATTGGCAAATCCAATTTGACAGAGTTCTGTGGCCTCAAAAATCCTTCTATGCCCCCAGGGTGGTCCGCGGTGGGTGGACAATGTCAGTCGCCGTACGTGTCAAGACACATCGAGAAACGAAAGCTACATTGGGAACTTTCAGCGCCAGGGGGATCTTCGACTGGATCCGCTGTCGCAGTGGCTTCAGGTTTCAGTACTCTTGCCATCGGAACAGACACTATCGGGTCTCTAATTACGCCTGCAAACCGCGCAGCCCTTTACGCTCTAAAGCCTACAGCTGGTGTGGTGCCAATGGACGGTATCTTCAATCTGAGTAAAACCTTTGACGCCGTCGGAGGCATGGTAAGCATATGCATATCTGTCAGCTCGTACCAGAAACACTGACCATGTGCTATAGGCCAAATCTGCAAAAGATCTTGTAGCGCTGATGGACGCCATGATGGTCCCAACCAACCGCGAAGAACACACAAGGAGCCCACATAGATCGTTCAAAATCAAGCCGGACTTCGGATCGCTCCGTATCGGCATATGTGAGCCGACCATCTGGAAAGTGTGGCGAAAAAGTGGGCGGATCAATGCTGACGCTGAACGATTCATGGTATGTTGGTGGACTTCTGCTTACGTGGGTGCAACGAACACACGTTATTTTGCAGGGGTTCGTGTTGTGTTGGTGCATACAATGCTGACATGATGCAGACACAAAAATACGATATGATTGTTCAGAGTATGATCGAGATGGGAGTCGATGTCGTGTATCCAGTGGAATTGCCAAACCAATCAAGCTTGACTATAGACGGAAAGAACTGCTTTGAGCCTGTCATGTGTTAGTATTCGGCTCTCTGATTTGCATTGTATGTATGCTGACATGATGCAGACTCTGAGTTCAAGGATTGTTTAGCAGAGTTTATCCGCGATTTTAGAGTCACGAAGATGCACTCTTTGGCTGAGATTATCAACTTCAACCTAGATCACCCCGAGCTGTGTCTGCCACCAAGTAGGTCGATGCAGACTGCCAAACCTCTATTTCTTACTAATCCCAATCAGCATGTCCGGACCAGAACGATCTGATGGCTGCGCTGCAGTCGAGCACCAAGCGTGAAGAGGTGAATGCCGCGCGGCAACATCTTCAAACTGCCGGCGGACCTGAAGGCCTGGATTTTATCTTTGCTACAAAACAACTTGACCTGATCGTTGCTCCCGGCGACGCACCTCTCTCTACCCTTGCAGCAGCAGCCGGCTATCCGACTGCCGCATGCCCGCTCTCCGCCCTCAAGCTCAACGGTCAGCCTTTTGGCATAACCTTGGCTTCGCGCCCGCACACCGAACATACGCTCCTTCACTTTCTGACAGCATACGAGAATATCTTCCCTCCACGCGCACTACCTATGCCTCTCTCATCCGTGCCTTTGCAAGATCCAAATCCAGAACCTTTGCCAGATCAGCCAATTATCGATCTAATATTGCATGAGTGGGATACACGAAGATTCAGCTGCAGTGCGGATGCACTTGCAGATTGGCTGAATGCACGATGGCGGAAGAGCGGTTATGAATTGAGTGCGGAGACAGTCTGTGAAGTGCTGCGGAGTAATGGTCGGGTCGCATTTAGAGGCTTGGGTGATGATGCTGAAGGTGCATTCTCGAGATGATGTACGGGTATGTTGTTACTGTTGTCATGGTGGTGGTGCATGGGTTAGCGCGGCGTCTGGTCAGTTAGGTTCTGAATTTTGGTTGGGTAAAGGTGGTGTTCGGGCAGGATTAGCAAGGGATATCCACATCCACTCGTTCTGTGTGACTCATTACAGAATCTGCGCACTACATTCCGCACTCTGCGTAAGTCAACACATGGGAAGTTGCCACGATGACGATCATTTTAAATGTACGTGAGCTTATGGAATATGATAAATGGTATATAATATACTGCAATGCCGTTTTCTTCATCGATCAGTCAATAACAAAGCTGCTTGGCGCAGCGGAAGCGCGCCGGGCTCATAACCCGGAGGACGCTCGATCGAAACGAGCAGCAGCTAGTTGATTATCTTTTTGCATTTTTTCGCAGCTCTTGGGTTGATCCTTTTTTGGTTGGCACAATGCAGTGGAAGACATGTTGCAGGGCTGTTGTGGGGCTTTTGTTGATCCTGCCAGTTGCTCTTGCGACGCTTCACTCCTTCTCAGCTGATAGAGTGTGGCAGTGATCGCATACGTGCGAAAAGAACTGCTTTCTTTACGCGAATACAGCTCATCAGGCGTACGAAGACATTAGCTTTTTACACTGTGCGCGCAAAGCCAAACTCTACCTTGGTTCATCTCGAGTCTTAGTCTTCTGGATAGGCGCTCAATCCTGCGGTAAGAGCCGGTGAGGCAGTATATCGCATCGGCGAATATTTCCAGTCACGTCGTAGGACGGCTTAGGAGATGACCACTATCAGACAGAAGTCTCGTTCATCTTTGTTCGCACTCTGAGCGATGCGCTCGCGATACTGTTTCCAGTTTCGACGGCTCTTGGGTATAGCTTATTGGCTCTAGAGAACGTACCGATGCCTTCAAGCTAGATATCCACGGAAACACGAGAAGTATGGTGGCCTTGGGCCCAACAATCATATTCAATTGACTATACAATGCTAAGCAATACAAACCGAATCATGCTTCAACAACTCTCATTTCTGGGCGGCTCTCCATCTTCCATCGAAGTTACAGATCGCGGTGGCGACGGCGATCTTGGTAGATGGTGGTGTAGCTCACAGAATCGACACTGGGTAGGACAGTGACCGTGGAACAAGGTGGGTCGGTGTCGAAAATGGTTGTGACAGTAGAGTAAGCTGGCGCAGTATCGAAGATGGTGGTGATAATAGAGTAACTTGGTGCAGGGTCGACGATGGTGGTAACGGTGACCAAAGGAGGCGCTGGCGCAGAACCAACGACAGTAGTGATAGTGACCACAGGTGGAGAGGGATTGACTGTGACGACAGGCGAGGGATATACGGTGGAGGTGCTGATGGCGATAGTGCGCGTAGGAAGTTCGAGAGTGCTTGTCCGTGGAGAGGCATCGATGAGCTGCATCTCATGATCCTTGTCGCACCTCTTCATATCTTTGCTAGGCTTCTGGATCCGAATTTCGCCTCTATCCTTTCCTCTGCCATCCCATTCGCCATCTGCACACATCTCCGTGCCAGGTTGGAATGGGTGATCGAATTTGACAGCCCTATGAAACGATTTGCGGGGTTCGAGATCGCCGTCCTTCTGGCCAACTTCAGCTGTGTAGATCGACTGGTCGATGATTGTATAGACTGGTTTTCCGCCAACCATCGTGTAGAGAGTCTGGCCAGTAACGGCTGGTGAAGCGACCGGGGAGACTGGTCGCGGTCGTGTAGCTGTCACTGTAACAACTGAGGTGACCGGGTCACCGGCTGTCACTGTGACAACTGGTGTATGCGTGACGGTAATCAGGTCTTGCGGATCAGGTACTGGGCCCTTGCAATAGACGGGATTCTTCGGTCCAGAGCGGCACTCGAACTTGAACGTGTTATCGGGGCTTTTTGCGTAGCATTCGTAGCAAATGACTGCCGCTGTCCAAGGGTGTAGCATCCATACACCAATACGAGGTCCCTTCCACTTGCTCTTGTGACGTGGCTCAAGATCCTGGGTGGCTTTGTCACCTGATTCCTGAGGCGGCTCAGAGCGACGCATGTGAGATTGGCCATAGTCTCCGCCGTAGACGGTAACCGTTTTTGTAGAAGGAGGGAGAATAGTGACTGTTTCGAGTGGTCCAGGCGGAGGCATAACCACAGTGACTGTGCTCTGAGGGAAGACGGTTACTGTAGTCAGTGGAGTGCTGAGATAGATCGCGCTAGTAGTTGATACGAGGGGCGTGAGAGTGTTGCTAGTATGAACCCACTCCGAAGACTCGAAGTATGTGGTCTCGGTAACGACGCTGGGCAAGGTCAGAATCAGTTGAGAAGGAGGTGAACAATCGGGAACTTACTAGGGATTTGGGACCGAGATTTGCGGAGGTTGGTAACAATCGAACAGTACTGAGAGGAAAGGTTCTTCATGAACTGGTGAGATGCATTCGGAGATGGCCTGAGGAAGTTCCTCAGTGGACGTTGCGGGGCCTTTGCAGCCGTGATGCTGGAATGTACTGATGAAGCAGGGTGGTCCGCCTTCGTTTATGCGTCCGATCCAGTTCTCATGCTTGTTGTGGAAGGGCTTGATGCTGTTGGCGCCGACGACGATGTTCTGGCACTTGCCCATCTTGAGATCCATGTTGCCGCGTTGTGTTGCTCCACTACAGTCGTCACTCGTGAAGGCATATGTGCGTAGTTCGTTCTTTTCCTTAGCCTGAGCTAGCGGAGAGAGGATTGCGAGTAATGCGCCTGTGGCGAGGATGACAGAGCGAGCCATGATCGAAGAGCTTTGCTTTATGTCAGTAGATGCTCTTGCTGTGATTGAAGGCAAAAGAGGAGAATGCCGGTGAGAGAACATACCAGCAGGGGGGTTCAGCTGGAGCTCAGTTCGACAATGACAGGTGCGAATGCTGAGGAGTATGATCTGCAATGCATTAGCACTATGAGAGAGAACGTGTATGTGGATGTCGAGTAAGACAGAGTGACATACTCAACTAGTAGGTCGAGGAAAATTTTGTTCGCTGGAAGCTGAATCTATGTTTAGAAGGCCCTATGAGAGTTCAGCACCGATGGTCTAAACAGCATCATATGGATGAGGCAGTCCGGGGATATCGGAGTGCGTCCATGGGTAGGTCAAGTGCAATGAATGGACAAGAACGGAGGAACGTACCAACTGGGTAGAAAGGCAGTACAAGTAGACCGACCAACCGATTGTACTGTTGCTTGGCTGAGTGGTGTAGTGGGCTGAAGAAGAAGCAGAGAGATCGGAGAGGAAGCGAGCTTATATGAGACCCAGAAGACGCTAACGTCAGTTTCCGGGCTTCGTCACCGAGCTGTGGTTGAAGAAGGCATTCTGCATGGATCAAGGAAGGCAGCTTGTCGATGTTGTGAGGTCGTTGCGCTCTTCGCCACGGAACAACGAAGCTGGGACGGTTCTGCGCGATCGAGTTGGGCAGGGAGTTAGCCTGGAGGGTAGTCGCACCCAATGCTGCGGCAAGAACATATCAAGATGCAAATAAGTCAAGGAAGGACCGCTGAAACGCTGTAGCAGCGACATATCTGGTAATAATCGTTCGCTTTTCCGGCGGTCTTCGGCTGTTCTTACGTCCAGTCTCGAAATGTCCTTAAGACACCAAAGTGACCCATGGCATAGACAGCTATGTAAGGAAGGCCATGTCAGATACCTTACGAGGCGTCTCGTGCTGCAGTGTTGTGACGTTAGCATGGAAGCAAGAAAGATGGTACGGGACCGCAGCGAGCATAATGGGAAGGTGGTGTGAATCCACTTAGACAAGACAACCTTGTTTTCAAACGCGGGAAAGAGCTGAGCAGATGTGCTTCGCCAAATTTCTAGATGTGCGTGAGCGTGTTGAAGTCAAACAATGGCAGGGTGTAGATGCATACCAGAAGGTAGGAACATGCCCTAGTCCATTGATATAGGTGGATTCACAGCGAGAGGAAACGAGGCACAGCTCATGGAATGATGATACTTGCCGGTATACGCTCTTAACCCACAGCGCGGACGATCTACGCAGTCCCACCCCTCATGTACGTATCCAACGCCTGAACGCCTCATCTCCATCCGAATCCTGTCTTATCCTGACGACAACCTGAGTGAAAGCCTCTACCACTCCCCCCACTCATCATCCTTCTTCGCACCTCCACCCATCCCACCTCCAGCACCGCCCTTCTTCATTGCGCTTGTACCGATGCCGCTGGGCTTCTTCGGCGCCATTCCTCCGCCTGTCTTCGTTTCACCCGCGCTAGCAAACTCATCCCAGAAGTCCTGCTTATCCTTCGCCGGGCCCTTGGGGGCTGCACCGAAGCTCTCCCAGAAGTCTTTGCGCTCGGGTTCGCGCCGGCCAGACGTAGCAGGGGAATGTGTTGAGGAATCGCCTTCGACGAATCGCGTGAACTGCGTGTTTGCGTTTGCGACGCCTGATTGAAGGGTCTGGCCTAGGGTGCCAGCGGTTGTGCGAGCTTGGGATGCGAGGTCTGCCTCGGCAAGCTGGATAGTTGTTAGTCACTTTAGTCGTGTTCGCTTTCGACGATATTGTTAGGCATACCTTTGCCATACCGGGCTTCACGTAGCCTTCATAACCCGTTTTGCCAACCTTGCTCACGCTTGCGCCTAACCACCCGAAGCCCTTGGTAAGTGCGGCGAGAGGGTCTTTCTGGAAGTCGTCAAGTGCAGGTGGCGCACCCGGCTCGTCGTCCTTCTTCCAGGAATCTGGCTCACTACCAAAGCCACCGTATTTGCCTCCCTGGTTTGGCGCAACGCCATCTGGTCTGTTGGCGTTCTCCTGTCCCATCTTGGCGAAGTAGGCTTCGTTCTTGACTTTCTGTGACGACATGGCATTAGTGCCGAGCGCAGGCGAGCCAGACCGTTGGAAACCTGGGTCGTTGCTTCGTGTCTTTCCCAGAGGTGTTTGGCTTCTGCTGCCCGCCGCACTGGCTCGTCCGCTCAATGGCGCACCCGCACCCGCTGCAGATGCATTGTCCTTCTTGGGTAACCGCTTGGGCAAATTGCTCTTGTCGAACTCCCTATCCTCAACTTTACAGCTGAGCCTCTCCTTCCACTCGTCGCCCGCCTCTGAATCGTATCGCTCTGATATGGAAGAAGCCTCGAATGTCCGTCCGTCTTTCGTGTTCGACGGGTGCGTGTTGAAGAAGTCCTGGAACGGCTTGTTGCCGCCGGCGGCCATGCGCACGAGTTCTGAGCCCTTGAAGGCGTCCATGGTGATGCTGCGGATGAAAGAGATGTGAACACCAAGACCACGGTGTACACCAGAGCAGGAGAGACACATGAAGATACCAAGTTTGGGCGAAGCCTAATGCGTCTCATCTTAGTAGGTGTAGTCGGTGATCGCGTGCGTAGGTGGAGGACGGGCAGTTGCATACCCATTGCGGACTCGGCGCATTGCAGTCGACGCACTTGTTGTTGTCGTTGGTCTTTTGTATCTCCAGCAGCTGTGTGCGCAATTGGTTAGCATTTGTCAACATGGCATGTACGATCCATCATCTGCGCTGCCTTCTCTCCGCAATTGACTCCTAGCACCCCACTCCATACGATAGTAGAACGTGCAACGTACCTTGCTGCGCGTCTCCGGATCCACCTCCCACATTTTACTCATGATGGGCAACCGAGAAACTGCACGATCGTGGAATAATAAGAGGTGGTATTTGGTCCCAAGTTGGGGGAGAAGTGTTTGGGGTCGATGTTGCGGTCGAGATTCAGGGTACGTGGGCCTAAGTGGGAACGCGTGGCGCGTGTGTGCAGTTGAGCCTCAACTCGCATCAACAGGGATGCTGCGTGCTCTGCGTACTACCCACGTTTACTTGATCGCGAATTTTGCCACTGCATATGCTGTCGCATAATCTTATTCCACCTTATCGCTATGTAACGCGACGAGAATACTATAATTGTTCGAGAGAATGGAATTAGTTGGTTCAAGTATTCTCAAACTACCTAGGTAGACTACTACGAAGCCTATCTTCATCAAGGTGTAAGTACAATTGTGTCTCCTGTATACCTAACCTGTAAGGAACAAGCGTCTTCGGATTCTCGCAAAGGAACTTGAGCAGCTCGTGTGTACACAGAACCACATATTCTGGAGCACGCAAGAAACACCTCAGCTACCTAGATTGCTACTGAATCTTAGAATACGATCATTCCCTACATAGCGTCCAATAGCCATAGGTCGGCATCGTTCTGGTGTGCGAGATTCTGTGAAAGAGCCAGAAGCCAGTCATCTTCGTCTCCATCAACCGGATCCACAAGTTCCACCCAAACCCAATCTGGTTCAATCCAAGTCGTGGTAGCAACACGGTTCCTGTTATACCACGCCTCACTAGACCCATCCGCATTATGTATCGACTCCAGCTCGACACCAGCTTTTGCCAGTCCATCCTGCAAAGCTGCAAAGATCTTCTGGCACGGGAAGGTGCCGAGTTGTGGATGCCAATCGAAGAACGTAATCTTTTCTAGATTGGAGAATATGGTATTGATCGTAGGGGCCATATTGATCAAGACTTCCAGCAAAGATTCGGGCACGTTATGACCATCCTCCATTGCTGAGATGCGGAGATGTTTAATATGCCTGGGTAGATTCTTGAAACGTCCTGGTAACACGTCGGCGAGCTGTCCCCATTCATCTTTCACTACCCCGTAGAAGACCTGCCCGCACATCTGAAGCCGTTCCAAACGGTTCAAGATTCTTAATTCTTCAAAAGTATTTGGATCGTCGTCTATGCGGAAGTCGTTGAGATCTAATGATGCGAGTGATTCATGGTGATTCGTGATTGCGCGTAGAAGCGTTCGTACGTTCACGTCATCTGGCCCCATACCATGCCCATGGAAAGCAAGTTTGAACTTCTTCAGGCCCTGGAATGATTCTAGCGCTCGAGCGAGATCCAGTGTGTCGCCGCCAACATTAGGCAGTATCAAGTTCTCGAGACTGGAGCCGTCTTTCTCTAGTCGGCCCCAAAACGTGTTGTCGGCTTCCCATTCGGGGCGTGGACCTGTCCCATCTCTGTCGCGATGTATTCCCACATGACCCAAGATGAGAGTTCTCAAGGATGGCAACAGAAATAACGAAAGGATGTTTCCCACACGTATCTCCTCGAAAACAATAGATGCCTCCCGCAGATTGGAGAACATCTGGAATTCTAGTGCTGACTTGAACCACACGGCCTTGCGCGGCCAAAGACTAGGTATAATTTCGATCTTTTTCACTCTCGGTGTGAACAACATGAATGTGTTGAATTGATCTTCTCTCCCGTGATCCGTGAGCCACGCGTTCAGCTTCCTTATCCTTCTTTCCCCCGCAACTTCCCTTCGTCCTACTTTGTCAAACCCTACTCTCTCGGTGATATGTCGAAGTTCAGCAGTTGTAAGTTGTTCGGGAAATTTGAATGCATGGCCCTCATACTCCCATTCAACCTGCTGGACGCACCGTTCAAGATCTGGAGAGGACGCAAGCGTACGGATGAATAGCCCTGGAATAGCATCTCTAGTCGAGTACGAGCTATACAAGATTTCTCTGGCAACCCGATGCAGACGTTTGTTGGTGAAACTGATCGTCCAAACGTCGTCGACGTCATCGAGAAAGACTTGGTTGATTATCTCGAATAGGAGCTCATCTGGAAGGGTGTCTATATTGCATTCGGATACTGCAGCGTTGGGGATGTGTCCATTAGCCAGCTGCTCACGTTGGCTTTTGGGTAGATGCCAATAAATGGGAGATACCTCAGACATGATGAACTCGATTCTTGAGTTGTCAAGTTGAGCAAGCAAAATGCGACCGATCATAACATTTCAAAGTTGTACCCAAATCCTAGCGTCTTGGCAGGATACATGGATTCCTATAAACATTGTCGCCATGACTCTTGGTGCAAACTACAACTTTGTACAAGGTTTCTGCGGCTTTTCAATTTCTTTATCATAAATAGCGCAGCGTAAAGCTTCCATCACACTGCGGCCAATGAACAAACATGGTGAATATAGACAACGTACAAGATTGCAGAATGTCAGGTAATTTTTAAATTCAAGTATCGAGTGGTGATGCAGCTACGTTGCATTTACGCAAGCATAGCTGTCCCATCTCTTTCAACTATCTACCAGCAAACCCTATTGCGACTCCACCTCCCCTAACGCCATTATCTGTGGCATGTTGTGTCCTGTCTGCCGTTGCCGTGAGGCCCTCTCGTATCCTCTTCCCCACCCCTAAATAAGTATATACATTGCCGTATAACAGAGATCCAGCGAGAAAGGAAAGTATTGTACACAGGTGATGGTGCCATTAATGATGTGATCGAACCGGACAGAGAGTCCCGGGCAGAGATATAACGCAGGACCCTCAAAACAGCGATGGAACAAACTAGACGGCCGTGCGTCGATGCTATGTATTACGCCTGGTTGTTTTGGATATGGTATGGGTGTAGGTTCGTCAGTCGTAACGCGCTTATGACATCCAACTTTGCTGTTTGTACGTATGATCTTTGGAGAGATATGTAGGATCTCCAGCCTATGATGTGTGTGCACCTTTGATCGAACTGGCATATGGTGGTTTTTGCTATTCGTCCTAATTCGGGTCTGGGTTCCGCACGTTTAGTTGTCGTCCATAGTCTCGGCTGTCATCGATGCTTCCTAAACTTTCCCGGCTTGCATTCGCGCCGTGGAAAGTCAAGACAGCCGTTGGGTTAAGTCGCGAGTCGACCAAAATCGGTTGACTTAATCGGCGGGTTGAGGGCGTAACAGGAGTGATCGATTCGTCGTCGTGACGGCTACGTTGCGAGCCAAAGTTGGTGACAAGTTGAGTTGGCGACTTTTCGCTGCGTCCTCCCAGCAAACCAGCTCTGCTCATGGTGCTCACGTTCCGCGATATGCCTGCTGAGCCACTCTCGTGCCCATCCTGTTGTTGGACTTGTTGCCTCCTCTTGCGCCATAGGACAAATATTATGCCACCAGCGATGGCCAACAACGCAATAACACCTCCAGCGACACCACCAGCAATAGCGCCTACGTTGGTAGAACTCTTGTCGGAATCGGAGGAACCTGTGTCAGCAGGAGCTGCTGTTGCTGTGGGGGTTACGACAAGCGTGCGGGTGATGACACGGCCGCTCTCGGTAACGACAGTTGGCATTGTGACGGGTTCCTCTGCCGACGTTGGAGTATCATCGGACTCGGATGATTGGGTAGTCGATGGTTTTGCGCTCTGTGGGACCTGTTAGCTTTGTGCAACAGGCAGGACTGGAAATAAATACAGTAGAAGAAGAAGTAGTAGAAGACGGCGTCGCAGTGACTACAGAGGTAACAATCTCTGGATCAGGTCTCACAGTGACGACCGGTGGCGGAGGCGGGGCCGACTACCACGAAGTCAAACACTGGTCACAGAAGAGAGTACAGATACGAATCAAAGCACACCAAGAGATTTGCAAAAGGACGAAAGAAGGAGTGCGCGCAAGATAGGAAGGGAGGTACTAACAGTCTTGGGAGCTTCTTGCGTCGATGAAGGCGCGTCTGCGGAAGATGTGGGCTGTGAGCCTCCGATGGTACCGGAAACCTGACCGTCCATTTCGATGTACATGAACAGGTCCTTGTCCTTGTTGCCGCACTTTTCGTCGGGAAAGCCAGGACAGTCGACCTCGCAGTCGTTCATGTTGGCCGTGTCTCCGGGCGCATAGTTGGAACACCAGCAGTCGGTGTATTGTAGGACGGCGAACGCATATGTGCCCTCCTCTTTGCAGTGGTTGGTGCAGTTGCCGTTGGATTGCCATGGCCAGTTATCTGGTGAGGTTAGATGTGGATCGTGGAGCCACACGGATCGACATGATACTTACAGACTTGATCGTCGCTACCAGTGTTCAGGCTGGAACAGTATGATTGCGTCCAGTCTGCTGCGCCTGCTGGTTTGATGGAGGCCAGCAATATGAAGAAGGCGAAGAAGCCCAGCAGCGTCGAGGCGAATCTGTGCTCCATGTTGTGGGACGTGTGAGGTTGTGGGTGGGGTCGTCGAGTGTGATTGTATAGGCGCGTCCGTTGGCGGAAGGCGACAATGTTGTTTGTTCTCGCGAGTGAATGGGCGCGTGTAGCGATTGTTGACCGCGACAAAGACTTGGATTAGCGATTGAACGCCTCCGACGTCGTCAACGAGCGATGCAGTGGGTGAGTGAAGTTTGCGGAGGCCTCGAGGGCGTGCAGGCGGGGTGGATGGGTGGATGTGGTGTGAGGTGGTACCAGCTGGTGGGAATGGGCGGGCTCGGTGCAACGGGTTATTGGTCGTAGGCGGCGATGTCTTCCTGGTATCCCCTCAAGCTATCGTCAGCATCGCTGCCCGTGAATGGATTGTCTGACGGGTGTCGCCGGTAGCACAGCTGGTTGTGGAGAGGGAAAAGCTGGACGGAGACGGTGCCGCTGTTGAGGATGGGAGCTGGTGGAGCTGCAGGACTTACCAAACGCTAACTGGCCGGTAGGTCTGTGCTGGTGAATGGAACACTACCTGGCTACTGATCTCTCCCGCTTTGGCCGTTAGTTCAAGAGTAGCCTCTCCGCCTCTTCCGCACTGGCACTAGACTTGACTCGAACCGCGGTACACCCTGCTCGCTGCCAACTCTGGGTTTGCTGAGAGGCGCCCTGGATGCTCGGCCGTGGCTGTCGGCCGTCGTGCTTGAAACTCGACGATGGGGGTCCTGTGACAAAATGTGAAGTTCCTCGGCCTATCTCGTCGTCATGACGTGCTCAACTTTGCACACCTCGCAGATCGTCGCTCCTTGGATCACGATAGCAGCCTCACTGATGCTTCAGGTGGATGCACAAGCCGCTTGTGATTCGCAAACCCGTCCTGGTTTTGTCGCTGTGCTCCCGCAGCCAGTGTCACTAACCCGGACCTTTTTCCGGAAATGATTTCTCGCGATATAATCGATAAAGCGACCGTCCTGGGCAACCCACACTGCTTCTTTCAACGAATGGTTTCTGGTTCAAGCACCAGTTAAACGAATGTATAGGCGCAATTTCGACAACGAGTGTATGAGAAGAAAAGAGAGAGAACAGAATGGTTGGGTGCACAACGCGGGACTTGCTGCATGTTTTGTCTTTCTGATGCAGTGCTGATCACCTGGCACGGGGCAGACTAGACAGCTCAGTGGCGTCGTATCGCGAGCCTCCCTGTCGCTTACACCCAACTGGAGTGCCAACATCGATATACTTGCAGCAGACAGCAGAAGCAGGTGTCCGCGCCTTGTACCTGTACATGCAGCCCTGTCCATTGGACCCTCTGCTATGGTCGGGGATGCGAGAAGGGTCATCCCCTTCTTCGTATCTTCACACCCGTATCCTTTGCACAACACTCTAAGATGAGTGAAGGCCTTATCTGCACGACCTTCTCAAACCATGTTGAGGCTTCCCGTTCCATGAATTGCGCAAGGTGCTTGGGTGCTTGGGCGCATGACAAAAAGCGCCGGCACGCCCAAGCCTCACGCCGCCGTCTAGCAACGGCGTCAAGCCTCATCGCTTCCTCACCACTCAAGCGACGCGCGAAGGCCACGGCGACGCGCCCATCGATCAATCGAAACGTGTCAGTCAACGGCACACCGACGACCCGGCAACCAGTCTTAATGCACACAACACACACTTTCTCATCAACATGAGAAGTCGCTTACCTCGGAAGCGCAGTTGTCCTGCCTTCACTCATTTCTCTAATTGTCCGCACACTTCAGCCTGAATCCCTCCGAGAATCATCCAACACCACAGTAACCACACAAACACGCGCAACTACCAACTAGCCAAACACCCACGGCACTACCCACAGAGCGAACTTGCCGGCCAAGCACCCGCAAGCCACCGCGCGACCACGCGTCTTAGCCCACCCTATCCCCAAAACACGGCAACCTGACGGCGCCAATCCCATTTCAATTTCGCTAACGGCACCGCGCAGGCCTTTGTCTCCTGAAAAAGGGCTATGACGCATGCATGGTAAGCCACCACCAAGGCCAGCCCGAAAGGAGCACCCCTGGGTATCGATAGTGCGATCGACAGGGGAGCAGGGAAGCCGTTGCTGTGTCGTATTATTAAAACTGGAGCTTCTTTTGGCATGTGCGTCAACTCAAGGGGCGAGATGAAGATGTTCAACAGTTCAAACCTGGTGAAGCAACACTTTCGTCATATCACGGGAAGAAAGTTGGAAATAAGTGGGTTGGCGACGATGAAGTGATGCGCGGGTGGGTAAGGCTGATGTGCTGGCAGCCCGCGGGGAACAAAGGATTTGCGTTGGATTTGTTGATGACAAGATGAGATCCCGCTCAGGGTCGATGATGTGTTGCTTGGATGTTGCCATCGTGTTGGGATACGATGCTAACCAGAGAAGCTGATGCGAGATACGCATATCTGCCATGTCCGTCCGGTCTTGTTCGCGCCCAAGGCCGTAAATAGAGGCACATCAGCACGTCTCCCAATACACCGTGAGATTGCAGCACTGGGACCCGGTCGTCCCGCTCATCTATACATTCCTTTTGTCAAGCTTGCACCTCGGTCTGCTTTCGATAGGGTTCGAGCGCAATGACCGGCACAATCGGGGTATTTTCATTATTCCAAAACGTTGAGGCTCGAACATTGGTGTTATAGCGACCCGAGGTGTGGAATCAGCCGCACCGTGAACTGCAGCTAGGATGTCTTCACACCATCTCCAACTTGGACAAGCATGGCAGGGGCATTATGAAGTCGGCTCGAAGTACATGTCCATCCCCTTGCTTGTACGAGAGAACGGCACAGCACAATGCTTTGCTGGCACACATTCAATCAGAATCACATGATATATCCCACTCATTCCAATTGACTTTAGCATGTAGGGAGATTCTCTTGTCTTCAATTCAGGCCAAGTACATTCCTACACTTTTGACTTACAATTTCGACTTCTTTCCTCCTGCTACACCCGTAACAGCCTCTCCACTGAGCAAGAAGTCTGGATACTCGAAGCCACCGACGACACCCGCCGTGTGCCATGCACCGCCATCAACAACCAGAGTCTCTCCGTTGACAAAGTTACCCGCATCAGAGAACAGATAGACCGTGGCATCAGCAATCTCCTTGACAGTGCCCCAACGACCGATTGGAATGGTCTTGGCAGCCTTGCTCCTGGAGTCGGACTTTGATAGTCGCGACATGCCTTCGGTGTCCGCAATGGGTCCGGGGGCGATGATGTTGGATGTAATGCCTCTGGGGCCTTGCTCGATAGCGACGGACATGGCCATGGCGTCTACACCTGCCTTTGCGACCGAGACATGGCTTTGGAGAGGTGTGCCTTGGTAATGCAGAGTTGCGCTGACAAAGATGATGCGCCCGCCTGTTCCGTTGGCGGGCTGTGTAGTGCCATCTGTCCTGTGCTTCGCTGCTGATTCCTTCAGATATGGTAGTGTAGCCTTGACGGTGTTGTAGCTGCCCAGTACGTCGATATCGATGACGCTCTTCATGGCGTTAGGCGAGATCTGGTCAATGGACGCGAGGAAGTTTCCTGCTGCGCCTGCGATGACGAAGTCGATGCTGCCGAGTTCTTTGGCGCAGCGTTGTGCGGCTTGTTCGAGGAGTTCTGGCTTCCTGACGTCGATTGCGCCGATGCCGATTACCTTTGCGCCTGAACGTGCAGTTGCGATGTCTTTGGCCATATTCTCCGTCTTCTCTACGTTACGGCCGATGATGCAGGCGTCTGCTCCTAGGGCGACCATGGCCCGGACTTGAGCGGAGCAGATTGACCCTGCGCCTCCTGTGCAGAAAACGACTTTGTTGTCTAAGGTATCTCCGTTAGCCTTTTATCAAGATGTAGCGCTGTCTGCTGCCAGGTATTGGAACCATTCCAACTACCCAAACTCGCTCTCTCTTGTGCATGGAACGTACCGAAGATGCCATCTTTCCAGACGTTGCTCACAAACTGGTACTTTTCCATAGGCATTATGCGCGGTGTTTTCCAGGCAGGTTCCGTGTGGTCGTGCTTGTCTGATTGGGAAAGTGTAGGACTGGGGCTGATGAGTGAGCAAGCGATGACAGCAGTGAGTACTCGCGAAATGGATAGATGTGAAGCGCGTAGAGTATAAGTAAGTGAGTATGCTCACGTCGAGTGAAAGCTACGGCCGCAAGACGGGGCGGATGATGGTAGGATACGCGGCGGTGCTTTTGGAAGCCGAGGTACGACTGGCAAGATTACTCTCTTAATGCTTGCGATGCGCTCTCGGCGACACAATGCGCGCATCGAGTACATTTTAAGAGTTGAATAGCCGTACAAGAGGCGTAGACAAAGCAAGGAGCGTCTCGGCAATAAGCAGACGTCGGATCGGATGCCTTTCTGTATTGCGGTGCCGTGCAGCGCCTTGTTGACATGTGTTGCTCTTCTCCGCATTGCGCGAGTGGTAGGGGGAGCATGGGCCATGATGATTTCTCCGAAAGATGGATTGCCCGCTCCGGATGAATTCCGCACCATCTCCGCAATCTTCCAAGTCGCTGCAGGCACGTCAACGTGCATTGCCAGCAGATAACTCAACCACAAGAGACTCCCCGTAGATAGCCCAACATAGCTCTCGCAATCTCCATTGCCATCACCATGGCGGCGCAGACAGTCTCAATATGTAAATTCGTCGGAACAATCACCCTGGGAATCGCAACAGTAAGTTGATTTCCGCCACTTCAGGCTTCGAGCTCCCCGCATAAAGCGCCAGAGCTCTAGCTGGAAGACGAACTCCTTGTACAACAGGAGGAAGTACACCAAAACGCGACGATACTAACACATATCTTAGGGTGTCTCAGCAACTGTCTCCACAGTCGCCCTCCCCGCCCTCCTCGCTCTCCCTACCGCCATCAATGCTCGAACATCCCTAAACTACCTCTCCACCAAATCCACGAACCTCTCCTCATACCTCCGCCACATCACAACCTTTACTCTCTTTTCCGCCTACTGTCTATCACCAAGACGGTTCCGCCATCCTTACCTACTCTACACATCCATCTTCTCATTCGTCTCGGGACCCGGTGTTGACTATGCCGTTAGCTTGACGGCAGGCGGTGACGAGAAGCGTCAAGTAATGGAGTTGGAGGCTCAAGGTGATGAGGTCAATGGTGAGCAGGTCCGATTGGCGGTCGAGAGGAAGCAAAAGGTTGAGTGGGTCAAGACTGGGCTGGCTGGTGTGGCTTTTGCCATGCAGGTCGTTGGACTGTGGGGTGACGGCGCGTAGATTGACGCATTATTGTGTTCATGCAGCATCATGTCAAGACCGTTGAGAGGATGACTTTGGTGGCTATCGGGAGTAGGATTCTGAGTATGTGATATTGATGTTCTTTTCTAGGTCAGGAGTAGGAGATGGAGATTGCTATTGGTATACTGTATGATTTTGTACTCTCCTTTCATGGTTTCTATGCAGGACGTACACACGATGTGGTTAGTGAGAACTATTATATCCCTCTCAATTCCCCACTGCAGCCAAACTTCTTTGACGTTGTTGCTGCATATACGAGAGACTCTGAACAGATGTAGAGTCAATCGTCTGCTACGCTACAGTTTACGGCAACATCTAACAATAAGGCTCGAGAGATTGCGTACTGTTGCGACCATTTATGTTATTTACTTCTATACCCGATCATCATGGCTGAAATTCATCCATAAGGGGAGTCTGATCTGATGTCGTGTTCTACAGTACGTTGAAACAGACGATTGCTGGGACAATGTCTAGGGCTTCTCCCGAATAGACGACATGGTCAATATGTGAATCAGCCTTACCGTGGGCTGTACCATGTCACAGCGATGTACAAAACATTTGGAAAGACTGGCCCAAAGGAGATATGGTCTTATACACCATTGGTAGTTGGACGAAGTTCGCCTCGGATACGTTTGTACAGACCTCTTAGTCTTGCGTATAACTTAAGAAATTGAGCTTCTCCACACTATGATTGACCATGTCCTTGCCCACAAGGGTTGAGTATTGGTACAGGGTCACCGCCAAGTCCTATGTCTTGATCTTATTTACGGATGAAGACATTTGCTCTAGAGGCATATACCTTGTCTCCTCTTTCTAAAGCCGTAGGCGATCTGTTGTCGTCCTAGAATTTGGCCGCTTCCTCTATGTCTCGATTGTTCGCACCAAGTTGCATTAGGAACCAGAATCTCCGCGGATAAAATGAGTTCCAAGATAAGCAAGAACTAAAAAGGTGGGTGTAAATACGTCAGATGCCGTCAGTAACTCGACAGAACGGTGTTAGGATGCTTCGAAACGTCATTGATAGATCTACTGATAGCTATATGAGAAAAACGCATAATATTGGGAAGCTTTTGGACAGATCGTACTCGATCTCTGCGACAACCCCCACTTCTGATCCGGTGACCAGAAGTTCTGAGCCAGTAGATGATGCCGCTCAGAAATTGACAATCAGTAAACCCGCAAAAGAAATCAATAACACTTGAAGCAGCGCAGAAGTTGCAAAACTCGATTGAGGCATCCTAACATTTCGTACTACCATCGCCGGTTCGATCCAGAGGGAGAAAGCCATATTGCAGAAAAATACCCGCTTTTGTCTAAGGAAGCGCAGATGGAGAAATCCAGAAGACTGGAGTGTACGGGCATTCTTCAGTCGCCACGTGAACTTGAACATAGGTTGAATCCTGTAAGGGAGTGCCGGGAAATTCGGACCTCCTTAAAGCGTAAGATGAACCTATATATCTGAGGTCGCGTTATTAAGATAGTCTTACGAAGGTTCCGTCTTGATACGCTTAGTTCGTCGAGCAGCAGGATCAGGAGTAACCCTGCGCTTTGACTTCGTCATCTTATCATAGAAGATCGCCAGATTATCGTTTTCATCTCCCTCTGATGTCTCTGGGTTATTTGGAGGTATAAGTGCTGTATCATCTTCGGACTTCACCGTTTGTGGTAGCTTGTTCCGTAGTTCCATTGCCTTCTCTTCAAAACTGAGAATTTGCTCTGCCAAATCAGCGCGGATAGCCTTCCCTTCCTCGGTGATGCGATAGTCTATTGGAGCTTCTGCTCGAAGGCTTGTGCTCAAGTTTTCGAGCATCTTGTCAATGCCAACGAAGTGCTTGTCCAGGAGCGTACGAACTGCATCGTTGAATCCAGCCTGAAAGCGCTGGAAGACCTGGTCAATGAAGTGGGTATCTGGGTTCAGGAATAAGTCTTCCATGCGTTTCTTTTGAAACTTGAGCTTAGGCATCACGTATCGCTTTGCCGGCTTCTTCTTTCCTGATTTTGCTGGTAGGGGCGGCTTTTCCTCAGGTACCGCTTCGAAAACTTCGGTGTAAAGGTCATCGGTCATGTAAGAGATGAGGTTTCTCTCTTGACCAAACTCCATGGTTGCCGACTCAAACATCAACTTCTCAAGCTTGCTAACCTCTTCCATCATCACCATGAGTTTGGCTTGGAGCTTGTTGCGTAATGGAGCCCATCTCTTTCTTGCCTTCTCAATTATGACCATGTTTGCGCCGGAGTCGTGGATCATGTTCGTGATCTTGTGATGAAGCTGATCTAAGCTCCCACCCAGGGCTGGTTTCATGTTTCTCATACACCCCGTATGCGCGTTGTACCACTTGTTGAACCCAGGTGCAAGTAAGTCTGCCAGTTCCTTGTTCCAGTGGCATCCATTCTCAAGGCCTTTGGCTTTAGACGCGCCTTTCAAAACAATGCCCCGGTGCCTAAGAATGCGAGTGAAGGCCGCCGATCTGAGGATGAACCATTCGGTGGTCATCTTTTCTTCAAGCTGCTCTTTGAAATTCGGTATGTCCTTTTCGATTCTTTGAACGCTCTCGTCAAAACATCCTTGAAACCCTTTTTTCGCTTCTGAGAGAAGCCGGGTCATGTATCCCCTGCGAACCGCGTCGATATCATCAGCTATGGTTCGGAAATCTCCATCACGCTCTCTTTCTGAAACAGTTCTCTTTACTTTCTCGATGAATGCTGGAATCGTTGTGTTGATGTGGCGTTCATAATCTCTCAAGTTCTGTTGCGCTGGTAAAGAAAAGAGATATTCGCGAATGGAGGGAATACCAGTCATATCGGGAGATAGCGATGGCTGATTCGAAAACCCCAGCTTAGGTTTGCGTATCCAGTCCATGTACTCAGAGGCAGAGGTGTGAAATATCTGCGGCATGTCCTTGGTGGTTCTGCCCTTGAGCTTCGCCGTGAGCTCTGCGTTGATGATATCTGCACGTTGCAGTATCTTTTTCTGCTTTCGGATACGTTCCAGATAAATGCGATATTGGCCCAAAGTCCTGCGCTCCTTCGAATTGACCTCCTCGTCTTCGTCATCATCGTCCAGGCCAGCCTCTTGCTCTTCAACTTCCTGCAGCAACTGGTTGATGATGTCGAATTCGCCGCCTGCGCATTGAGACAACTGGTTCTTGGAAAGAGACTACAAGGGATCAGTAAAGACGCAACCCTTGTAAAGTTTGCAATAACCCACATCGACCTTTGTAGCGACAACTTTGACTTTTGAAGGACCATGATGAGCGACAGCTGCACGTGTACTGTTGATGACTTTGTCGTCGGAGGCAATACGTATGGTATCTGCGAGGATGATTTCAACATCAACAGTGTCTTTGATCTGTTCGGCATGCCGGACTCTAGAAAGATTGATGTCACCCCAGCCTGACGAATGGTTAGCTGAAACTTCGGGGATAACCCTCTGGTGAGTGAGATAGCATACCTGGGAGATCGATGATCTCTATCCCTCCTTGGAGTAGTTCATGATGGAATCTGATTGCGATGTGGTCCACGAGTGGCCATAAACATCTCTGACCTTTGACGCTAGTTAAGAATGGTCGTAATTTCTCCAGCAGTTCCTTCTGAGTATCTGCCATCTTAGTAGCAATACCCTGAGAGTCAACTTGCTCTTTCTTTAGGGCTTCGTCGCATTTCAGCTGACAGAGGTTGATGAATTCTCCTGATCTGTAATCAGATACATTCCAATTCTCAAGAAATTCGTCGTAGAACCCGAACAATGTTGTGAAGATATCTTCCGCGGTGTCGTTCAGACTGCGGTCCATTTCATCCTGCCCGATAGTCTTCGTACGTGAGACGTCCTCATCATCGTCATCGTCATCGTCGACGTTGTGGTATACGTAGTACGACCGAGCGTGCTCTTTGAGTAGTGCTTCTCGTTCTTCTCTAGTGAAGAATTTGATCTCTGCAAAGAACTGATCTTCACCGGTTGTGCTTTTAGGGTACTGAACATAACGCGTTATCGAACTGGTACAAACAGCCCCTTCCGCACCGGTGAGCGAAAGATCATCACAGTCAAATAGAGCATTGATCGTAAGACTCTTTCCTGCACCTTGAGCTCCAATCAGGGCAACTTTGATTGCAGGGCTCAGCACGACGTGGGCGAGGTCGGTAGCCGTACGTAACAAATGCTGAAGCTCTTTGTCATTGTCTGGAGAGCCTTTCAATTGTTCAGTGATGAGTTGTGCGAGTTCTTTCATCAACTCATCGATACTGGCTCTATCAAGTCTCCACCAGGGATCGTCCGGTTTCTTCTCTTGCTTGGCGTCATATCGTGGTAGAGTCCTTTGCCCTTGGAGATATGCCGGAAACTCTTTGAGAGTGAGTATTGGGTCCATTCTCATGTTCTCCAAGTGGCATGGAGAGAGAATCAACGTGTATAGCGTTGTCAAAGTTGAGGCTCGCTTAATACATCGGTGAATCGGTATATGGTAGCCAAGAAGTTGCGGTGGTGTGGAGAGGAAACAAGGTAGGAAGAGCAGACGGCGGATTACTTATATAGCCATCCAAAGCGTAGCGAGAGGCCACGTGGGGGCTGTCATAAACAGAGTGAGAGAGCCTTAAGATCTGTAGGATAAGGGACATATCTATGTGTATTTCGGCTACCCCGCAGCAGGTGAGAGGAAACCATGGTGGTAGCAGTATATCGAAAACGAGTGTTCTTGCGGGAGAAGTGAGTGATGAGGTTGTTATACGAATCAATTGTGACAATTGCTTAGCGAGTAGTCCAACTCATCAGCTGTAATGAATTCCATAGTGAGCTTAGTATGACCAAACAGTGACTGCTGATATGGACGAAACAAATTTCTACTTTGATAGAGCAAAGTGAAGTGGTGGCAGGTGGGGCCACGTTGATTGCCTAATCCTCAGATATGTGTGGTGGTTGGCATAATGTGGCGTCTAAGAAGACCGTATCGATACTGAAGGTTGAGTACGGCATTTGATGATATCTAACGAGATTTGACCAATTCCAGAATAGAACTGTAGGGCCTGAAGTGGTAAAAATGCTCACTCTTTGCAGCTCCTTTTGACGTCGTGTTCTCTGTTCCAACTCAAAAGAACGGGGATGAAGAAACGCTGGAGAACAGATCATCCCATTCAACCAGGTCGAGATGTATTGCGTCGTTTATCTGCGAAGAATACGACTGCTGTTCTCGCAAAGCATCCGACGGTAAACCCGAGAGTGTCCCTGCAGTAGCGTGAATGTCTGTCGCACTCAAGTTGTGCTCTGCTGGGTGTTGAGTATCTGCATATCTCCCCAGGATCTGCATGAATGACTCGTATAGTTTCGCCGCTGCCAGTGAATCTTCCCTTGCATCTGCTATCATCTGTAGGCCTTCCACTAGGTCACCTGCTTGAAGTACGGCTGGTATTTCACTTGGCTTGTTGAGACAAACATCCATAAGTAGAGTGATAGTGGCAACGAAGATACTGTACAGACCGGCTGGAGGTCGCTGGGGGCGGCGCGCGAAGGGGTTTTGAGAACGTAGAAGTGTTGTCTCGATATGAAGTAACTGACGCGCTGATTGGAGACATGCGGCATGAGAGGACGTGTATGTTGGATCCATGGTGGATGTGCGCGTGAGAGTTGCTAGATGAAGTTTGCAGCGTTGGGTGTGGAGAAGAGTGTTGAGGAAATAGGCTTGGACGAACGAGTGGTTCGAGTTTGTACAGCCGTTGGTGTCCTGGTAACCGTTCAGCAGCAAAAATGCAGGAACTTCATTCATCATTTCGACGAGCTGGCGATCCATTGCCATAATGTTAGCGCGGCGATTGGATGGGTCGGAGTTGATTTGATCGACAATGTTACGTGAGATTTCTGATAGACGGATGCGCTGAAGGAAGTACGACATATCTGTCTGTTGTGATAATGGTCGGGATTGCTGGGGCTCATCGGTAGATAAGTCAACGTCGTTGGTGTTCAGTGGCTTATTCACGTGCATATGCAGCGGGTTAGACTGGTATACGTTTTCGCCAGATCCACCGTATCTTGCTGCAAGTAGCCTGGAGGACTTTCTTAGCATTTTGTAAACGCCCAATGTTTGACGATGTTCATATAGACATACCAATCTGTAGAAGTCAGATACCACCAAACACGACGACCAATCTCAGCTTTGAGCGTTCCTGCCGTAGTAATATTGGATTCATGGTCGGTTCGATGGAGACCCAGTTCACGGCCAAGTAACAAACCAGTCGATATCAAGCACCGATATCGTAATGAAACACCCTCCATATTGCAGATAACGTATGACAAGATGGCGATGCCTTGTATGGTCTCTAACACTAATGCACTGCTTTCTTGGCTAGCATTCAGTGCTGTATATGTGGCTTTGATCCAAACGGATGTTTGAGAACGGGCTTGCGACGAAGATAGAAACAAGGGGAGCTCGCTTTCCAAGTTCTTCGGCGCGGTCCAAACATGCGTCGTATGAGCGATGATACCAAGCAGAAGAACAACCTTGCCAGACTGAACAAGTTCAAAACTTTCGATCTGGTCGTACACTTCGTTAAATGTAGCTGCTAGCGAGGGATAATGCGTGACGTGCTGAATGTAGTTGAGCTCTGTGACGTAGTAATCGAGCAGCTTCATGACCTCTTCCCGTAGTGGCAGCCATATACACGGCACTAGCCTTCCATTTTGTATTGTGAAAGCGGGTGCTTGTGGTATCGATCGAAGCTTTCCAATTTTGAAGTCCAACTCATCTGTAAAGAAAGATTCGAGAGAGCTTTGCCCCATCGAGACAGACTCGAGATGGTCGACTATGTTTTTTACCCTGTAGATCTCGGACTGTCCGGTGATTTTGGAGTATTCTTCCGCAAGGTTCAGACTGGACTGTGACAAGAAGGTCTCGCTGTCACTGTGGCCTAAATGCTGGACGGGGACAGTGCTCCTCACGATATGCTTCTCTAACTCATTCGCACGAGTTTGAAGCACACGTATCTCATGAAGAAGTTCAGACTCCTCTGGTGCAGGTGAAGTCGTCTTCACAGTCCGCTCTAATGGTTGATATTTGGGCGTAACCGCGACTGAAGCTGGTGTATGAGGGTCTTGGGTGTTGAGTGCCGCGGGAGTAGGATCGAACGTGCATACCTTTCCTCTAGACCTGCAACTTGTACATGGTAGTGGCCGATCGCAACGAAGCTTGCGCGAACGGCAGAAGTTACATGAGTATTGTCCCTTGCGACTGGATCGCTCTCGTTTGCCAGAAGCGGGCATAGTAATCCGGTAGATGGATGCGATCGATAGAGAACCACGATAGAACTGCAAAAATAGAAATATTGACAGGATTTTCCAGTAGATAGTTATGAATCACTTGGATCCTTAGGAAACTTGTCTTGAGGGACATGCCAAGATTCCGCGGGTATTCCGCGGAGAGCGAAGCGACGCTGACTGCATACACGTACCACGCTACCATGGTTAAGGACTCAATGAGCATATCCCGTGATTCACTTGAAAAGGAGGCTTGGTCCACTTGGCTTCGTTTGTGGCCCATGTGTCATGTGAATGCTCCTGGCTACGATGCTGGCGCTGTCGAGACCTAGGACGCACAGCAGTCTGCAGTAAGCTCGGCTTCATCCAGGTTAGGAGAGTAAGGTGATGGTTTCAGTTACCGGAAAGCATCTAGGTGAGATGGAATTGGACGCGAAATACTAAGATGAAAGAGCGACGGTGTTGAAAGAGTCGTACGCAAGCGTTAAACCTGGAGATTGTAATCGCGCTAGTCATGCTCGCCAAGGTGCGGTCGTCGCTTGACTCGCAATGGAAATAATTCCATTCTTCACTTCAACCATATCTACTTCTCCATCAACGCCAATGTAACCGATGTCATTCATCCCCCGCCATGCCTTCCCGCAAATCCCGTCACTGCCCAGGTCCTACTTCCTGGGCCACCACAAGTCCGGCCTGCAGAAGATGAAATCGCTTCTGTCCTCGATCGACCTCGTAATCGAATGCCGCGACTACCGTGTGCCGCTTACCTCGCGCAACCCCTTGTTCGAAGATGCACTCGAAGGAAAAGAACGAGTGGTAGTCTATACGAAGAGAGATCTGGGTGGTGGGTCACGAGACAATCGAAATGAGGATGTCATCGCGAAATGGCATCATCCTACAACGACCATGTTTGTGAGGAACGGCAAAGATGCAGAGGGGGAGACCAGTGGTCGGAAGAGTGTCATCAAGCTTTTGGATATCCTGAGGGAGCATGCGCGGAAGAGGTGGAAATTGGTCGGACACCGCGTCATGGTAGTGGGGATGCCCAACGTGGGTAAGTCCACGCTGCTCAATGCATTGCGCGCGCAAGGAATCGGCAAAGGCAAGGTTGCAGCTACCGGCGCTCAACCTGGCGTAACGCGTAAAGTCAGTAGCAGCGGTGTGAAGATCATACCGAGCGAAGACGACATGGAAGCAGCGGACGGTGGGGCGAAGAAGAAGCTTCAGGGTGTTGGAGGAGGTGTATATCTTCTTGATACACCCGGTGTCTTCATCCCATACGTTCCCAACGCGGAAGCTATGATGAAGTTGGCACTTTGCGGCTCCGTGAAAGATACAATCATTGCACCAGTCATGCTTGCAGATTACCTCCTCTACCACCTCAACCTCCAATCGCCTACGCTCTATTCTGAATACGCACCGCCTACCAACGATATCATCGAGCTTCTGTCTGAAATCGCGAGGAAGACTGGTAGGCTGGGTAAGGGTGGTGTCATTGACACAGAAGCGACATCGCTGTGGATGATACAAAAGTGGAGGAATGGCATGATGGGACGCTTCCTGTTGGACGAGATCGATGAGAAGAGTCTGGAAAAGGCTAAGATTGACGAGGAGGGTCTTACACCTAGCCTGAACCAGGCTAGAAAGGCAGAGAGGGAGAGGCGTAGGGAGAGAAACAAGGCGAGAGGGGAGAAGTGAGGTTACCAAAGCCATACACTAATTAGACATATATTGCACACTGCTTGTAGCACATAGCATATATATTAGAATTCCAAAACAAAACACTTGCAACCTACATGTTCGAAATGAAAATCGCCCTGTTCTCACTACACAATCGTCCGCGCCGCGTTCAGAACATAAAGCGGTCAACCTCCTGCAGTCACTTCATCACGCGTATTGAGGTCAATCCCTCCTTCCAATTCAGCACCTTGACATGCTCATATAGAATTGCTTTCTTTCATCACTGATGGTCTTCGAAGAACGCATAAACCCAATCTTTGTCTCCTATTGTTTCCTGATATAGTCAAGACCTCGAAATATGTCCAAGCCGTTGAGTTCTATGAGAGTCTCGATGTGTGTCGAAGAACTCAAGGACGTAGGCTGGTCTTTGATCAACTGAACCAAGTACCTAGGAAAACTTGATACCCCACAGGACTAGGCCCAGAAAGCTGATCTTGCACGGTAGGCGTCATGGAACATGTTGTGACTATGATCGTTATTGTGATGTTGGGTGTACGCTTACAAGACGAATAACCTGTAACGTTTTCTCGCGCACCGAAGGGAGCTCCAGGACGCCAGTGTAGTGGTTTGCAATGTCTTCAGTCATACACATGACTGCAGCCCGGGCATGCTCGATGGAAGGATGACAGACTTTTGTTCTTCAATAGCGAAACGACAAAGGGCTGAGACTGACTGTGCAGTTCTGATATGAGGGCTGAGGTAATGAAGCTCAGTGCGATAGAGTGTATTCAGGTGGTGGTACGGTGTCTGCCATACGTGGCGCCATGTGTCTTGAGTCAAGCTCGTATGCTGGAGCATCTACCCCTAATTCCGTTGGTAACCGGGTTGTATCTACCTCGTAACGTTGCGCCATGGGATCTAGCTCCTGGTACTCTGGCTCAGGACCTGCTTCAAAAGGGCCGATGGCTTGATTAGGCGTCTTCTTCCAGCTTGTGACGACTTGTACAGGCTGGGTGCAAGCGATGCCTGTCCACTCACGATCCGCACATCTTCCTGAAATTTCAATCTGCAGCTCGTATTCTAAGTTTATGCCATAGCTCGTGAAGCTTGGGGTACTTTCTTTTGGGATCTCGATATTTGCTACGTCCAGAAGATTGAGTCCATCGTATAGCGGAAGTTCATGTTCTTTCTCGAATTTCTCGTCGCAGAGGACGATGCTCTTCTTGTCTGAGGTATTGACCGCCCTGGTGGCGTGTCGCCCGAACTGTTCACCAGGCACGAATATGTTTGTCATCGCGTTCAGCTGAACTTTTAAGCGCTTGAGAAATAGATCGGGAGGGTAGGGAAGCGATTCTGAACGTTTCAGATGCTGCACTGTTACAATGACTGGAACCATAGAACCAGTGACCAGAACGCTAGCAGGAGTGGCGAATAGATTGAATTGGGCGTAGGGTATCTCCGCAAAGCTTTGAAGACTGAAGAGCATTTCATTGTCGACAAGTTTGTCCTTGAACCTTCCGAGTTTGCTGTGTTTTTCGCTGTAATTGGGGTACAATTTGCGTGAACGGATCAACTTTTGGCGGCTACAGTGTTTGGGCAATTTGTTCCCAAAGTTTAGATCCGGCTGGAGGAGCGCCGGATGAAAGTCTGGGGCTGGTGGCATGTACTTGATTTCCTGTCGAATCTTCAAAGGCTCTCTTTTCGGTACATCGGACTCCATGTAAGCTTCCAAGTGGTACAAGACTTGTGGACTTGTGGGGGTGGGGCCGCTAAGACTTGGTGGCAGTGGGAATCCTGGGGAATGCTGAAATCGCGGGTGGTTGTAAGAATCCGTTGGATGCACCCAGAGTCTCTCGGCTGGTGGATGTAGAGTCGCATGCTGCGGAACGTCGAAGGAAAAAGGCAATTCAACTTTGGTGGGATCTGTCGCGTTTCTGGTGAGACGCTGGAAGTCATCGCCTGTGGATGTGTAGAGGTATTGGGAACTTCCGCAAAGGTCGACTCGGAAACTCCTGGCGTTGTCATCCACAAGTACAGAGAAGCCCTTTAAGCTTATGCTTATGCGATGAGGTCGCGATGCGGGCTCCACGAGTAGTCTGCCTTGGATGCGATCTCCACTTGTGTAGAAGACTGGCGGATTGAGCACATCAATGTACACGGAGTTGTCCCGGCGATTAGCTCGAGAGCCAGTCGCAGAGGCCGACAATGCCATGATCAGGTGACGTTGAACTCGGTAATGGGAGCCTGGAGATGATCAATCTGGAAGAAAGGCTTGCATTGCACGAGTGTATATAAGGCTGCGAAAGGGGTCATGCATCGACGGCGACATCGCTTCGCTGCCGCCCCTGCTCCTCGGAACTAGCCATACCAAGCTTCTGGGGTCACATGCAGTAGCCGAAGTTCCAGCTTGGTATACGGGGTTGATGATACTGGACGCCCTGAAGGCCTAAAGACGTTTGGATCAAGGCTGGTAGCTCCGCCACAATGATTTTTGAAGGATGCGGGAAAACATGTCATTCAAATTTCCGAACATGAGCCCGTCCTGGTGTTGTTGGTGGTTTCCCCCGCTGGGGAGGCGCTTTGTGGTGATGCTCATTGGTGGTGTTGGTGGCCGGGGTCGTGCCGTCATCGATGGAGGGCGCGACTCGCGACTTTTTGATTATCTACTACGGACGCCCGCTCCAACAAACATCCCCAGCAATGTCGTCCACCTACACATGCACAGCCTGCTCCAAGGCCCTATTGAGGTCTTCGTCTTCGCTGCTACAGGTACATAGCCACCACCCATGACCAAAGCGGATATTAATTGTCGTAGCGGACCCATAGAGCATCTCTCCGCCAAGCGCGACGAACAATTTCTACCACTTCGCCTACCTCATACTATGCGTCGCAACATCTTTCGGCCGACGTCAGACCCGAGGCAATCAAGAAGCCGCATCCCGCTGTTGCGTCCGGTGTGACTGGACTCGCTCAGAGGCTGCGCGAAAAGGCACCGTTGATGACCGAAACCTACGTCGCATATGGCGCAACACGAGACCTCATCAAGGAATGCACGAAGCCGGGTGAATACAAAATACCCCAGGCGCTGCTGAAGCGCGGTGAGATACCAGTCGACGAGAATGGTGTGCACCTGGGCGAGGGCGAGGGCTGGTGGTACGACAGTAGGTGCTGGAAATGACTATAGGCAGGCATTCGCTAACAACTTGCACAGCCCTCGGACTGAAGCCGACTTTCTCAAATTGGGCCCAAATCACCTTCATCCACATGTACATGCTGCAAGTCCGCTTCCGCATGTTCCCCCAGTCACATGCGCCTGTGTGGATCCAGCACCTCACCAACCAGGCCTTCTACGCCGCCGAGGACCGTCTTGTGATATGGCACAAGTTCAACGCCAATTCGCTGCGTCAGAAGCACCTAAAGGACATGTTCTCACAATGGCGTGCCGTGCTCCTGTCGTACGATGAGGGTTTGATGAAGGGTGACGCTATGCTTGCCGCGGCTGTCTGGAGAAATCTGCTTGGCGCAAAGGAAGATGTCGACTTCGAGAAGCTAGCGCAGATTGTAGGATACATGAGGAAAGAGCTGAAGAGGCTGGATAACGCTACAGACGATGAAGTGGCGAATGGGACATGGACTTTCAAAGGCAGCCCAGGAGATGAAGCTAACGTTGTCAAAGCACCAAGCCGTATGATGGCGACTGAGACTGCAAAGGCGTAGTCCACGAATAGAATGTAGGAAAAAGGGCATGTATCAGTATTGTATATATAGTATACGAAAGATATGAAGACTAAGAGCAATGTATTCGCATCACACTCTATACCAAATTTGATCTCATCATACAAAGTGAACAGAACTGACAGCATGGCTAAAGGTTATCCCCAACCACACTTCGCGTATCATTAACGTTCTTGAATGCTCAAGCTCAACGCTTTTTGCAACTCTTCCTCATCGTCCTCTGTTGCTGTAGCGCGGCCTTTGCCTTTGTTTTGATGATGAGCTTCCAAAAGACTCTGCTTCTTAACATACTCCATTACAATCTCTTCTTCCGTTTTCTCTTGCGCTGTTTTCTCCCCTAGGTATTGTGCCTGAAACTCGTCCTGCGTAGTACCCGCAAGGTGGCCGTGGTCATATGAAGGAGGTGGTTGGGCACTCGATGACCCATTAGTTATAGGTACCGCCTTCCTTGCTGTTTGCTGTGTCATCCCTCTTGTCCGCTCATTGTTGAGTTCCTCCTGATTACTTTCGCTACCCATCCGTCCATGCTCCTTCAAACTTTGGGCCATAACCTGCTTCAGCTGTTCCTCATATTCCCAAGCTTCTCTTGCGTGTCGTTGGGCTTCAGCTTCGCTAGACGCCATTGCCTTGAGTAAATCTTGATCTGCTTCATGATCCATATCTCCTTGTCGTTGGGATTCAAGTGGAGATATGTTGTCTTGCGTCGCATTCATACTGGAACGATCTTCCGGATTTCCACGTGACGTTTCTTGGAAGGATCGGCGGACAGTGCCACTGATATCAACCGCTCCTAGCAATTCGTTGCTATCAGTGGTATGTAACGGGTACTGCGAGTTTCTTGTGGTAAGCGTATCGTTTCCGGCAGTTTGGACAAGACTATCTGTGGATTGAGCTGAACATGTAGCAGCTACAAAATCCCGGTAGGTCTCACCATCATCCGTCTTTCCTTTCCGCTGTGCATCCAATATGTCTTGTACCATCTCGTCCGCGCTGTGCTTCTTCTTCAAATATTTCTGGATCATCTTCCAGCGGTTGATAACGTCTTCTTTTTCTGCATCGGAGCTCTGTAACCACTCTTGATATCCTTGAGCTGTCCTAGATGTGACAATGTAGGTTTGCACGTTGTTACCAAATAGCTTTTGTACCTCCTTATGCACTCCCTTCATCATATGACTAGGGATGCCAAAGAGGGCAGCACCTGGTTTGGTAATAAAACCTCCAATGCCTTTGCCAATTCCCTTGAAAAAGCCGCTGGTACCTTCCTTTTGAGCACCTTTCCAGGGTTGGGTAACTAGACCAGTAACGCCGTCATACCAGCCAAACCCAAACTCTCTTCCTACCGCTTTCATGCCTGACTTGAGATCGCTGACCTTTTCTTGAGG